GAATACCAAGATGCTTTAATGAAATAAAATACCATATTAGTCAGCTGCTGTCTATCATGGTCTAATATCCATTCATCTTAGGAGGTGTAAAACTGCAGGACTACTGAAAAGGCAGCATTTAAGTTCACTGTGCATTTGTGAGGAACTCCACCTCTTTTGAAAGGGCTTATTTAACTATTGCTAGGTTAAAAGTTGTATTCATCTACCTTTCAAGTCTTACTTTCAATGTATAGCACATAGTTATTGAACACTTCCATGCAAAATGAACAGTTCAGATAACCGAAGTCTTAGAAATATAAAATAGTTTGTTTTGGAAGGGAAAATGAAAGGTTATCTAAGAAGGGACACTTTCCCCTAGAACAGGTTATTCAAAGCCTCATCCAGACTGTCCTTGAACTTTTCTAGGGGTAGGGCATCCACAGTTTCTCTGGGAGACCTGTTCTGGTGTCTCACCATACTCACAGTAAAGCATTTCTTTCTTATAACTGATATAAATTATCCCTCTTCCAATTTAAAGCCATTCCCCCATGTCCTATCACTATATGCCTTTGTAAAATGTCACTTTCCAGCTCTCTTTTAGGCTCCTTTTAGGTACTGGAAGCTGTTGTAAGATCTCTCCAGAGCCTTCTGGAGGCAGAACAAATGACAGTTTTTTTAGCTCGTCCTCACAGGAGAGGTGCTGCGGAATCCCATTGCTCCCCTGCTGGCCATGCTGCTTTAGATGCAGCACATGACATGTTTGGCTTTCTGGGCTGTGAGTGGCCATGGCTGGGTCATGTCCAGCCCTTTCATCCAGCAGAGCTCCCACATCCTCTTCAGCAGGGCTGTACTTACTCCATTCTCTGCCCACCTTGTGTTTATCCTTGGTATTGCCCCAACCCAGGTGCGGACCTTGCACTTGGCCTTATTGAACTTCATGAGGTCGTCACAGATGTACGCACCTTTCAAGCTGTCCAGATTCCTCTGGATAACATCCCTTCCCCCAAGTGTATCTATGGTGCCATGCAGCTCAGTGTTGTCAGCAAACTTGCCAAGGTGCCCTTGATCCTATTGTCCATGTTTGCGGCAGAGTGAAACAGGGCCAGTCCCAATAGTGACCCCATGTGAATACTATTTGCTGCTTGTCCTTGGTGTCCACTTGGGCAGTGAGACATTGACTGCAACTCTTAGAGTGTGAACATCCAGCCAGTTCCTCAGCCACCACTGAATCCTTGTTTCTCCAACTGACAGACAAGAATGTTGTGTAGGACAGTATCAAATGCTCTGCTTAGCTGCGGGTAGATGACATCAGTAATTCTTTACCCATCCACCAACACTTCAACCCTATTGTAGAAGACACCAAATTTGTCTGGCACAATTTGCCCTTAGTGAAACCATGCTGGCTGTTGTCATCTCCCTGTTTTCCTTGTGTCTTACTGTAATTGGAGGATCTGCTTCATGATCTCATGCTCAGAGATGAGACTGACGAGCCTGTAGTTCCCCTACTGTAATTATTTCCCCTTTTGAAAATGGAGGTTATGTTTCCACTTTTCCACTTAGGGGGAACATCATCAGACTGCCACAGCTTCTCAAATATCATGGTTAGTAGTTTAGCCATTTCCTCTGCCAGTTCCCTCAGGAGCACCCATGGATGTATCTGACCAGGTCTGATGGACTTCTGCACCTTCAGGTTCCTTCAATGGTTTTGAGCTGGATGCATTTGTACAGTAAGTGGTTCTTCATTGTCCCAGTTCCTTCTTTGTCTTCTGTGACTTGGGCAGTGTGGCTGGAGCACTTGCTGGTGAAGACTGAGAAAAGAAAAGTTGTTCAGTATCCCTCAGAGTTTTCTATATCCTTGATAATCAGGTCATCTTCCTATTCGAGAGAGGGTTCACATTTTCCCTAACCTTTTCTTTCACCAGCTGGAGCACTTGCTGGTGAAGACTGAGAAAAGAAAAGTTGTTCAGTATCCCTCAGAGTTTTCTATATCCTTGATAATCAGGTCATCTTCCTATTCGAGAGAGGGTTCACATTTTCCCTAACCTTTTCTTTCACCAGTTTTCTATGTAGATGCTTTTCTTGTTTGCCTTGACATCCCTGGTTAGATTTAATTCTTTAGCTTTCAGAGAAGGTTCTATACTGCTTCAAGGAATGCTGCTGTTACCTTTAAAAACAAAACATTAAAAATGGATAAGTGTCACCTCTGTTCCATCTACTTTACGTGACCTCTTTTCTGTCTGGATAGTGTCTATTTGTTCTGAATATTGGGCGGTAGAGGATTTTCTTCAGGCTTTTGTGTGCATTGTTTATAGTTTCTGGGAAACACGAAACAACTTGAATAACATACAACTAGTTTATTTGTGGTTCTTCTCTGATAAGTATTTTGAATTAGCCTGTGTATTTTTGAAGCTAAAAAAAAGTCATCTTTTAAGACAAAATTGTAAATGCAGGAGCATAGCTATGATTTTCTGCTTACTTATTTCAACTTGAAATTTCCTTGGTCTTTTGGTGATAGGTGCCTGTGAAGTCTGTCTGCTTTTCTTTCCTGAATATTGAATCAGTCTGTTCATTACATGTTTTTTAATAGTAAATTACTTCATTTATGCTTTTCTAGTGTGCACTTGGATGTCCAATCTGTGTCTTGAGCAGTCTGATTAGACTGATTAGAATTAAATTGTAGAAAATAACTTTTTGCCCTTGCCCTTCAAAATCCATTCCATATATTTACTGCGGTGCCATTCAGACTCTTGTGTATCTCCATGAAAGGGAGACTTCACAACCCCTCTGGTTGCCTGTTTCAATGTTCTACCACTGTCATGGTGAAAGCTTTTCTTTAATTGTAAAATCATAGAATAAAATTGCATAAAGTATTTCAGACTTGTTCTGAATAAATTACAGTGTTTTTTGGTGCACCTTCCTAGGCTAGTGTCCTAATATTTATCAAGTTCAACTCAGAATGTCTCCAGACAATGGTCATGAACTGAATTCTTTGTAACAGCTGGGTAAGCTCTTTGTCTGTAGCAGTTTGGGTGTTTTTTATATGAAAAGCAGAACACATCAACAGAGAGGGATAGGAGAAATAATTTTTTCCCATCTTTTTCTGATCTGGAATGAGTGTTATATTGGAAACATCCTATATGAAATTGCTTTTACTTTGAGATTCTAACATCTTTTAAGGTTCTCATTTAGAAGGGCTTCTCAGGAGATTAATAACAACACACTGACATCACATAAAATGAATGCACAAAAAGAGATTCCTCTTTTTTGGAGATGCTATTGGGAAGAGTCTCTGCAGCCAGTGCAGACAGTGGGAGTGATGGAGGTGACAGGCAGACAGTGCAGACAGTGGGAGTGATGGAGGTGACAGGCACAGAAACTGCTCTGCTGTACTCAAACTAATAAGTAAAAAGGCTTCTAGGTTTAGAAACATGGTAGTATCTAAGCAGAGCTGTAAATGAATACAGAAGTGCTTTTGGATATTTCCATATGGTATGTTACAGAAACATGACAAATTGCTGAGGCTAAAGGCATTGAAGATCATGGAGTCTAACCTCCTGCTCAGAGCAGGGTTCTCTAGAGTAGATGCTCAGTCTTCTGTCTTGTTGCGGCTTGGATTCTCTGGTAACGTGTGTATTAACCTGTTCATGGATCCATCTAGAGAATTTGTTTGCCTGAGGTGTTTTGAGGAGGAGATGTGAGAGAATGGAAGTAGCTCTGGGGAGTGGGGTGGTGGTGTCCTCTGGCCTTTGGTGCTAGGGTGGGCATAATAGCTGCAAAATTGTAAGTGCCAGTGATAATGGGCTAGTTAGTAAACCTTTTTATGTTATTTAATTAAGTGAAATATTTCCTGTTGGTTTTTTGCATTACATACTGTTAAATGCATACTGTATAGATACCACACAAGAATTTGATACAGCATGAGTTTCATTATATCTTTTTTGGACAATAAATGAACATGCCATTTGTGCTTTATGAAATGTTGGTTGTCATTTTATATTGTTGTGTACCCAAGCTAATCATTCTAACTAGCATTTTGTAAGTTAGATATGTCAGATGCTTCCCTATGGCTTGTTGACAATTTTATTTTACCTTGTTCTAGTGTCGTAAAAAAAACCAAGAAACCTCAAACCAACAAACAAAACCACCTCAGAGTATGGGAGTGTTTCTGGAAAGATTTGTGCTAATAAAGGATAGTATTCTTGCTAACTATATCTTTTCACTATGTTAAAATTTTTCCACCTATTTGCATTATTATGCACTAAAAGTACTTCTAAAGTCAGATGCTAGTTAGGGATAGTATACTGTAGGTTTTGAAGTTGTCAAAAGATGACTACTGCTAAACTCAAGTGTTTAATAAGTGCTTAAGCAAAAATAATGGTTAGAAAGGGGCTGTTGTTCAGAGATAAGAACTAATGAAAAATGCTTTAAGTCCATCTGTCACCTGAATTTCCAACACTAAAAAACCCAGAAAATATTACTGCATCTATGGCTGATACTTAGTTCTTGATGAGATACTTGCACCTGTTTTGAATATTGGAACAAAACAAGCCTTCAACTCCTTGTTACTGAAAGGCTCTATGTAGTGTATGAATGACATCTGTCTTCTAATTTGGCTCAAATTCTGACACGGAATGATTTTAAAATGTACTTCATTTTCAAACAGTAGTCCAGAATTTTGCCACTGAACTTCTTATATTCAATAAAAAAGTTTAAGATTGAGTAGTGGATTCCTGGTATCACTTTAAACTTTATGCTTCTGCACATTCTCTAATGTCCAACAGATCGTAATGCACTTCTGAACCTATTCTGCATATCAGTTTTAAAGTCTTGCGTTACACTGAATGTAGTAATTTCTGTGTTGAACACAAGAACAGAGGAAGCTACTTGAAATCTACCAATGTTAGTGGAAAAATTAGATGTTGTGATCCTTTGGAGTGGGTGTGTGTCTGTAGGTTTTAAATAATTAGCTATTCATTGTGTGGCAGTGGAGTACTAATGATTACTTATGTCTTTTTAATCAGGACAGAGTTTGGGTTACGGTTTTGTGAACTACGTTGACCCCAAGGATGCCGAAAAAGCTATCAATACCCTGAATGGATTGAGACTTCAGACTAAGACTATAAAGGTATGGAGGGTTAAAATAATTTAAAGAAACTGAACTGGTTTGACTTCCTGATTTGTTTTACAAGTGTAACAAGCATTCAGCTAATGTCAGTAGAATAAACTAGGATTTAATATAGTAAATGATCCTTTATAGTGTTTAAAGTTAGATTAAGTAAAAAAGGTATAGAAAATTACATTTTCTTATAGAAAATTACATTTTCTTAACCAGTTTAACACTTTAGATGTACAGTTGAATTGCTTTAACTGAGGAATTGTTATATACCTTAGTTGAAGAAATGCAATATTGCATGTTGTTTGAACACCATGTACTTCCTCATTTCCTCAAAGATGGTATAACTTATTTAATAATACTTCAGGTTTTATGTTAATACTTGCCTTGTTTGTTTTACAAATCCTTAGCATGAAATGCTGAAATAACTATTGGTTATTTATGAATCACCCTCTTTCTAGGGCTCTGGGCCTTACATCTCTAATGTTTGGTATTCCCATCTTTTTCTGTTATGTTACAACTCCTCACACACTTGTTTACTAAATTCGGTTTCTCAAAATTCTAGAAACAAATCTTGAGAGTTACTTTTTTCATACCCTCTTTTAATCCAGTAACAGAAGACTGAGGATACTCATTTGAGCATTTGAGCGCTGGAATTTTGAGAGAAAGTTGATTAAATAAAATTGCTAGGAAATGCAGGTTTCCCAGGTGCTGGTGTCTGGAGGCAGTATATATTCCAACTATCTCATTCTTCCTAATTAAACAGCAAGGCTTGCTAGCTGAGCACTTATATAGTGGCTGCCTTCTAACTTAGGAGCATGCTTAAGATATGAAATAAAGTCCTCCTAAAAATATTGTACTTTAAAAGCAGTGCAAAGCTCCTGAAAGACAACTGAAACAAAAATAAGATACCAGTAGTTTTGGCAAAAGTGTCTTGCCTGTTCTGTATTCAAAAGGTTTAATAAAGTGGATTACACTATTGGAAACTTAAAATACTACTTTGTAACTCATGGCACACAGGTACAATGGATGAAAGACCTGGACCAATGCTTAGATAATGAAGGCTCTTTGTGTGTTTCTGGCAGACTTCTTGCCCACAGTCCTCTCTCATTTTCTACTTTGGGGGAAATTGAGCAAAGTAATTTTCTGCTCCAGGACTTCTGAAGCTATGTTTTGTGTGGTGGTGAGAAAGGGAATCTGTTTCTGTTCCAGTCGTATTGTTTGGCATGTGATGCCTTGGATTGAGCCAACATGACTTGTATGTCCAGGATGGTAAACTGGAAGTTCTGTTGATTTATAGGCAAAAAAAAAGAAGGTAGGTAGAGAAAATCAAGTCAAGTCTCCCAAATCAATATGTTCCCTTCAGGAGGGCTGCAGTAACTTACTTGATGCTGACGATATTTGAATTTTTAATCTTCCTTTACCTTGCTAAGAGATTAATTTAATCAATTTTCACCTTTAAAAAAAAAAGGTGAAAATTGAGTAGACAGATACGAGTGATGACAGTGATGCTTTTTATTTCCTGCCTTCCCAGGACCAAAAAGTGGAAATGAGGTTAGATACCAGAAAAGATCTTAAAATGAGACTAAACTCAGGTGTTTATACATTAGATATCTTCAGCTAAAGCAAAGCTGAAACTCCAGAGTTGTCACAAGCCAAAATGATAGCCTCTTTGGCAAAATAAAAAAAAAGGCTCTGTTTAATTTGAGAAAAAATATATTTAAATGCTGATTGTTAATGTTACAAATAAATTCTGACTGTAGGTACTCCCAGTCAGTCCTGCTGAACTTCAGCAGAACCTTTCAGTATTAGTGGGCATGACTTGAGTGCCAAAACTGCTTTACTGTCTTCTCCTTTATTTACTCCTCTTCCTTTTTGGACATGGGGTTTCAGGCCAAGTTTTTTGTGACTGGATTTTCCAAGATCACAGAATCACAGGATGTTAAGGGATTGGAATGGACTTTAAAGATTATCTAGTCCCAACCTCACCACATTTATCTTTGAAGTAGTAGAAATGCCCAGCCTAGATGTAAGCATTTTGTAGCTTACATGTTCCTCAGATCAGCCAGGGAGCAGTGGTAGGCAGAGATCAAGTTGATGTCTGAGGTCGTTTCTGCCTCAGGTGGCAGCATCTTGGGTGGAGGAAGTATCTTATGAGGTCTCAATCCCCAGGTCCTTTGTAGAGGTTACTTCCTTTTTATAGACCATAGTGTTCCTATTTGTTCAGAGTTGGCAAGTCAATGACAAAAGCAAACATACAAACAAACCCCCCCCCCCCACCAAAAAAAAAAAAAAAAAAAAAAAAAAAAAAAAAAANAAAAAAAAAAAAAAAAAAAAAAAAAACCCCCCCCCCCCACCAAAAAAAAAAAAAAAAGACCCAAACCAAACAAAAAAAGAGCCAAACCAAAAGCCCAGCTTGTTTGATAACTCAGACTCTAACGCATGACTTTCAGCTTCAAAAAATGCATGTAATTTAGATGTTTTATGTTTACCTTCATATAAAATATTATTGAATAGGAGTGCTAGTGTATATTTAGGCTTCAAAAGAAAAAAAAATTAGGGGTTTATTCTCTCTCTGCGTTTTTGGGACTTCTGCAGGAATGCTTAGTACTTTACTAGATAGATGGTTCAAATTTGTTTTTCATTAAGATATAAAACTGGAAGGAACTTTGCTGGTTCAGTCATAGTGTGATGTATCCTCACATTGTGACTGAACTCAGTGCAATCCTACTCAGAGGAAACTGACTGTCCTGACCCTGATCTGTGATGCTCTGGATTGGGGCTGTGACAGATACCTCTGATCCACAGCTTCTATACTGGCCTGCACATCACAGGATATATTTTTCTCATCTCTAAGGGCGTGCCATTTTGTGTTTTCTTGAAATAAAATACATTGAAAAATGCGGATTTGCAAAATGCTGAATTAAGGGTTGAGTTTTTAAATATTGATAGCAACACAAAATCCTATTACATCTTCCCTTTTTTAAAAGAAAATCCTATGACATGCTTTATGGAATACTTTACTGATTTTTTTACAAAATATCTCAACCAGTTTTCAGGTGTGTGTCTCCAAAGCAAGGATTAGCAATCTTAGTCTTGTCTAGCCTGATGGCAGTTGTATTGCCTTCTCATTTAACTGAATAGTAAGGGAGGGTCTATACTTTGCTGGTAAAGCCACTTGTGACTGTGTTAGATATGTGAACCCTGTTCAGCTGGACGGTATGCCTCCGTTATTATATAGTGCCCTTTGTGGCATAATTTATGGTTTATTTGCAATGTAAACTGTGAAGTTTGGGCTTCACTAAGTTATGCAACTTTATTGTGTAAACAAGTTGCATCTTATAAAACATAAAATATTTTCTGTGGCTTCTCTTTCAGAAGATGATGCTGCTGATGAGCTTTTTATCTCTGTTCTGTTTAAGAATTTTATTGGACTTTTGTACCTGGAGTGAGTTCTCTGTGACTTTTTTTCATTTAGGTTGTCCTGGAAAGATCAGTTCTTCCCAAACGTAGAAAACTCAGAGAAACAAACTGGTTATGAGAATCACTGATTTGCACATAGGGTTAAGAAAATTGAGTGCAGGTTCTTGTTGGCTTGACTTTGTGTAGAATTGATGGAAGTCTGCACACATTGCTCAAAAGCCAAGTCTTACACAAATAAAAACAAAGCAAAACAAAAGACTACAAAACAAACAAAATAAAAACTCTACTTGTTACTACTAAGATTGTGTAGCTTGGGGAGTGCAGAGTACAAAGATGCAGCATCAAAGTCCTCTAAGAAAGTTGCGGCTTTTTGCATGGATTCAAAATGCGGTAAATGTCAGGCATGGAGATTTGTTACTGTCAGTTGTTTTGAAGGCAATTTTTTTGTTTGTTCAATTGGGGTTTTTAAAGTATTGTTATTTTGTTTTAAATCAAATATCTGTTTTCTTTGTAAGAGGATTTTTTATTAATTTAAAACATGATTATGATTACTTCTGAAATTATGGTAGTCTTGAGATAATTAGACCTCTGTTAATCTAGCAGCTTTCAAGGCTTTTTGTCTTACTGAGTATTGGCACTGTTGTCTTTCATCCATGCAGTAATAGTTTTTCCAGAAAGGTTGTAAGATACTCCAGTTAGCTCTAAGTTGCAGTAGATGTGTTTCATGCATTTCTAGATGTGTCTGTGGAACTGTGCAAGAGACACCCAAGGGTTGTGCTTGCCAGAGTCTCTGTCAGTAGTAGAAGCTCCTTAGGTATGACCTGAGGTTTACTAATTTCCTTCAGGAGAATAATTCATGTATTGTGTTTTAAGATTCTATTCCTGTTTGTATTATTTATGTGGAGGGCTTACTATTATACTATGTACTCCTGTCCTCCTTGAAAGGTAACTGCTTTCTTTATTCCTAGTGCATCTGAAATTCCTGTGCTCTCATTGTTTGGGCATGAGTGGGGATCAAAAACATGACTGTGAAGTATTGAGGGGAGGTCTTCTGAGACTCTTCAGAATGTGAAAATTATGAAATGGAAAATGTTTGGAGACTTGATCTCCTTTCATTTCATATATTTTATTTGTACTTAGAATTCTAAGTTGAGTATTTCTTTTTTTTAGCAAGACAGTGATAGTTACAGACTGCAAGTTCTAAAGTGCTCTTTTGTACTGGTCCTTCTAAGGGCAAAACAGATTTGCTATTCTGTGATTGTAGTGCATAACTGCCATCTCATGTTTTATGTCAGTGAACTTGATTATTGTTTTTCTTTTATCAAATATTTATGACCCTGATTTAAAACTGTTACAGTATCTTGAGACTTCTGGGAAAACCTCCTCTTCTGTTTCCATCAGTGGCAGGATTACCAGCTGGTTTCTGTTCTTAGCACATAAGTACATTTGCTTCAGTTCACCAAGTGGATTTTTTGGGTGGCAGTTCCTTTAGACCAATTCTTCTGAAAGCCTGTTTCTGGTCTTCCTCTGTGATATGTATAGCAGCATTTTCTTTGAGCAGTGTGCTGTCCTTAATTGGTTATATCCTGAGGATATAACCTGGTACTTATATTCTGTATATTCTGGTACTTATTCCCTGAGATATATAAAGACTGGCCTTAAGTCTGAATTTGTCAGATCTGTCCACTCATGCCCTCAGCTGAATGGCAACAGATGTGGATCCTATGACCCACCTCAGGCCTTTAACTCTTGGTGTGGGCTGTGGCTGTCAGAGCTGTAACACTTTGAGGGGTGAGCTAGTTTAGTGAAACTCTCTTGATAATAGTGCTGAAAGGCTGTTGCTTCAGTTTTTTCAATAAATTCCCTATTGTACAGCAGGCTGTAAAAGCAGGACCTTTATGGGATATGGCTGTGTTTATCAACTTAATCTAAACTTGTAAGTGAGCTGTGTTAAGGTTTTTTAGTTCCACAGGGCTGAATGTAAGTTGCCTTTACAAAGGGAAATCTGGATTTCCAATATGTTCTGTTCACAGAAGCATGCTACTGCAGTTTTCCCCCACAAACTCGGCACAACATGTACATGTTCAGTAAGGTAGTCTTGTGTATTGGAAAAAGTGGTCTTGAAGCTTTGTTTGGAGTGGAACAATCCTTTTTTGAGGGGACACAGGAAGTGAATTTGATGAATATACAGCAATGTACTCAGCTGTTTCAGTCAGCAAGCTGTCACTGGCTAGTGACAGCTGAGACCTCATGGTGTGCTGCAGCATCTTCTTACTGGAAATCAAATTAAGAAGAGTTTGTGAATCATCGTATCTCATACAAATTTAAGTGCAAGTTGAGAACACTTGCCTGGCAAAAGTAGTATGTCCTTGTTTTTACTGTGCTTACCAAGGAAGCATACTTGTTCTTAATGTATTCCTTTTCTCAATATAAATCTGTCTGCTTTGGAGGTAGATTTAACCCATTTTCATCTGGACATACCAGATGTTAGTTTTTTGTTGTGTGAGGTTTTTTTTTCCCCATAGAAACATGTATTTTAAAAGAACTAGACACTACACTTAAGGGCAAGGCACCTGAGCTAGTGAAAGTGAATATTTACTGAAATACTCACTTCAGCATTAAGGATTTCAGATTTAGAGACTTGGAAGACTACATTAAGTAGAGGTGTTTAGGAAGAAATTGTATTAAATTCTCAAGTTTTTTGAGAGAATACAAATAGTTTGTATTTGTACTAATAATACTACTACTAATAATAAGTTAAAAGAGGTTGAAGCATGGTACTGAGGTGTCTATAGGTAGTATAAGATAATAAGAAACTGAATCATTCACTTGTAGTGGCTGCGCCTCTTTATAATTTTTGGTAACTTCTTTGTTTAACCTGCTTTCACAGTTTTCACTTGAAAATTGTGAATCAGTTTATCCTGAGGTTAGGAAATTAAGTGTTAAAGGAATGAAAATACTTTGACTTGGTGGTGTAATGTTTGCACTTCCAGTAACAAGTCCTTCTTACTAACTGCAGTAAAACTGTTTTTAAATTTATATCTCCAGAGTAGTGCTATTCAGTGCTTTACAGTGTTTGTCCTCATTAAATATTTAAAACTGTAGGCTTTCAGTCTGTTTCTTGGCTTGCCTTGTTCAGTGGTTTTGACATCACGTAACTGAAATGTTCACCTGTTGAATTAGCTGTGGAATGAAAATCTAGGCACAGGTGTTAATTCGATCCATATAAAAGTTCTTTAAAAAAGACTAAGTATAGCAGCTATGTTTAAACTACCTGCAAGTAATTACTGAATGAGCAAACTGACAGGCTGTAAGTAGGGAGATTAGTTTGGAGAGTCTCTGCTTTAAATGTGTATCACAATGAAATTACTGGACTTCGACATCAAAAATTAAGAGGGAAATGTATATCACATAATCTAGGCAAGGTTCTTTTAATATGAATTTTATACAAGTAATATTTTGTGGTGTCCTTTTCTCACTAGTGGTGCTGACTTAAATTACATTGCATTTCTGAAGTTACATGTTTCTTTCAGATTTTTTTGCCTGACAGTAGTTCTGGTGCTTAACAAGATGTTTAAATAGTGTGTACAGGTATGGGTGATTAATCACAGATTGTGGTTTAATATGTGTTATTATTGTGACTAATGTGCCCAAATTCAGTGTTTTGGAATAGTCACTTTTAGGTAATAACAGTGAAACTGGATATGTGAGAGTAGTGTGTACTGGTTAGAGTATTGCTTCCATTTACTTGCATCTTGAAATTTAGTTTAGGCATTGACTGCTATGTCAAACTTTTTGAAATATTTTTAACCAGAGAAGTCACGGGCAATACTGGACTAGCTGTCATAATGCAAGAACTCATACTCACTTACCAGAGGAAAATGAGAGAGTTCTGCAAAAGCTGCTTTGTATTTTGACAGGTACCAGTTCTGTAGAATAAGGTATACTTGCAGTAAGTTAGCAAATATTTTGTGCAGGTTTCTTCTCTTCTGATAGACTTTGTGTGAATTTATATTTTTATATGTGACAGGCATGTGTCCAGCAGTGTGAATTCCCCCTTGAAAGATAGAGTCTGCATGGTAATTCATAGTTTTATGGGGACTAGTCCTATTCCCCCGGCAGTCTGTCTTCATTTCTTGGCCTTGGGTCTCCTTAAAGTCCTGTCAAGTGAAACATGGAAGTTTATTTCTTAAAGAAGCTCAGGGCCAAATGGGCAAGTTGGGGGTTAGCTATTGGGGGTTTTTGCATGGTAAAAAAGGGTAACTGTCACTGTCTTGGTTGCTTCTTCGGCTGAATGCAGACAAACTTTACTCTGTTTTCCTCTAACTTTGATCATAGGGCTTTAGCTCTTATGTGGTTCTCATGTGAAAGAGCAAGGCAGTGTGACTTACAAGGTTCCATGCCTGATAGCTACAAGGTTTTGAGGTCAGTCCTCCTCAACCACCTTGCACAAAGCCTCTGTGTGGAACTTGAAGGATCACAGCAGTGTTCAGGGTACTGCTTGTTTAATCTCCAGCATACTGTCTAATGTTTAGCTTCCACAGCAGTCTTAAGAGTCTGCTGATCTGCACAGAAATGAGACAAGGAAGGATTTGAAAAGAAATGCCAAAGAATTAGGCAAAAGGACAGAATGACAGAATCAAGTTCCTGTTGCCCAGTATTGGCTAACAGTATATAGAACGGGAGAGGAGAGGAGATAAATCAGACTACTTCTTGAGGATCCTTTTTACTTTCATGTTTTACATAGGTGAAAAGCCTAGATGAAGTATTTTGTCCTGTTGGAGAGGCACAGATGTTCTAATCATTCTTGTAGTAACACCACTGGTACAAACTTCAGTAGGAAGTAGTGAACGTGCTGGTTTTTAGCATGTGTCTATGTGTCAAAGAATCTACTTAATCATCTTAAAATATTTTAACTGATTCATCAAGGCAGCAGGTAAAAAAACTCCTGTCCAGAAGAATCTGAGAAGTTCACTGTTAAATGGCACTTGTTTTTAAGGCCTCTTGCAGAAATTGGCAAGCTGCTAAACAGGCAAAATACAGGTTGTGGTCCTACTTCTGCCATTCATTCTTAGGCCTGTGAAAGTGAGGTAGCAGAGTTTATCTTGATCTCATGAATGATTGTGATTATGAGTCATTTGGTAGCAAGCTCAACACATACAAAAGACACAGCACCTGAAAAACACTTGCAAACCTCTAAGTGCTTGAGACTGTCTCTCTGTACCTTTGGCCCACATATCACACTGAAATCTTAAATTTTTTTGTATGTTTTAGTGCTTTTTAATAAAAATTCATGAAACATGGGATATTCATCAAACTTCTTAAATTTGTTGCTTTAATTGTACACTTTCTCCACCAAGGCTTACCTAGCTTTTTCTCATTAAGTATATATGAATTCATGTAGTGAGCTGCTCCTGTGTGGTCTAAGTTGCCTTCCTTCCACGTTTTGGAAGCCAGCTCCCAAAAAAATGTCCCAAAACCAAACCAACCAAACAAAAAGACCCACTGAACTGGCTTTGCAAAGTAACTGTTCTGTCATTGGAAATGTTTTTATGTCTCAGAACAGATGACACTGTCCTATTTCAGCTGGTTTTAAAGTGTTTGTTTTCTAGATTTTTTTAATGGTTTTTTTTTCCTAAGGTTTCTTATGCACGACCAAGTTCAGCTTCTATCAGAGACGCAAATTTGTATGTTAGTGGACTTCCAAAAACAATGACCCAGAAAGAACTGGAACAGCTCTTTTCCCAGTATGGACGTATTATTACTTCTCGTATTCTGGTTGACCAAGTCACTGGTAAGTAGTCAGTTTTGCGTGGCGTTTCATGGACTCACAGTTCGAGATATTTCATCTTTCAGTACAATGGTCTTATCTCTATAATGTATAAAAGGTGTATGTAGGCCAGATAATTCTTTTTCCTCCTGGAATTGTTCATAAATATGCATGGACAAAAATAGACTGTGTAGTGTACCAAGCCAGTTTGAGTCATTCCCACCCTGAAGGTGCACGTCTGAAGCTTGTTTGGTGAATTTTAATAAATTTACAGCTCCCATAATCTTCCTTTCCAAGCTGCTGTATGAAAATAGTTTCCCAGTGCCTTACAAAATGCTATTAATTTTTTTTTCCTAAAAAGAAAATTTTATGCAGAAATGCACAGCTGGTTCTCTGAGGCTAGGAGTACAGAAGCCCTAGGTGAGCAGTTGCTGTTAAGACTGTTTTCAAGGCTAACGCATTAAACTTGGGAACACACGAACTTTGAGTTCCTCAGAAGCAAGTAAGTTCTGTAATTACCCATGCTGTAAAGTACTAAGATGTAGCAGATTATTTGTATTATTACAGTATGTGTGTCAATCAGGTAATGCTTGTCAGTGACACTTTGTGGTTACTCTTCAGCCTTGGGACAGTAATGCTTGTGTTTTTTTGCTGTCTCAGATGGCTGATCTTGAGGATCTTTATAGTTTTCTGAATCACCTGCTGTGAGGTCTCTGCCAGAAATAAGAAACTGAATGAAAAGCCAAGTACATGACAGGAGTATTGAATGTACAAAGCAACATACAAAGAATCAGGTTTGGAGAACTCTCCAAGTTCTCCCCATTCCAGAACATTAAGTGGTGGGAAAGATGAAGTAATTTACTTACATAACTATGCCCTGAATAAGCTGGATTTGATTTCTCTTTTTTTTTTTTAATAGTTGTACCTTTTCAAAGCTGCATATCCTCTTGGGTTGCAAGCAGCTTTCAGCTGTAGAAGGTCATAAGGGTTTTTAATTGTCTTACTTTGAAAAGTTTGTACATGCCAGTGCTTGAGTCATGGCTGACCTTTAGAGGAACTTGTGTGTACTCCTTGGACTTCCACTAAGTCAAAAGAAGGCTCCATGTTGACCCACAGTACTTACAGAGTGTTTTGATATGTTGAGTTGTTGAGAGTGTAGAGAGGCCTGGAAAAGAAAACTAAAGGCTGAATACTGAATTGGAGATGTAGCAGATTTGCAGGACAGATTCCTAGTCTTTGTGCAATAAATAGCTGTTCACTGTAGGTTCCTGTATGTTCATACATAGAAATAGATGGTATTTAACAAATGGACAGGTAAGTAAATACAATTGAACTTCTAATAAGTGTTACAATTCTATTCATATTCATAAATCCTGCTATTTGCAGCAGACTTTCTGGCATACAGATTGTTGTTAAGGCTTAAGCTTTCTTGCCTCTTTCTATTTAGTAATTTGGAAGAAGTAGTCTCCGAATTGTATGAATAATAAGGTTGTGATACAAACTGACAAATTAAAAATGCAGAGTTGAAGCTGTGACATTTGCCTCTTTAAAGCTTTCTTATGTCTATTCATTGCCACTTTGATGGCTTAAATCATTATTTATGAGCAGAATACATTTCTTGTCATTAATGTCTTTCTCAGTTGAGGACAAGTGTCTAATTCATCTGGTTATTCATGCTTCAAAATGTAAAGGGGTTCTAAATGGCACTAGAAATATTATAATAAAACATTGATCTAACTAATGTTGTCTGTAGCTTTAATGTTAAAGTTCAAGTATCCAGTGTAGCTCAATGTGTTTATGTCTAAGACACTTGAAATTTTTGATGCGTGATGTTCGTAAGAACTTCCATAAACACTTTTGGATTCCTTTGCATGTTGCCTTTGATTTTTCTATATCAAGAAAAGTTTCCTTCAAAAGTACCACCTAGTGATGTATGGTGATTCACCAGAACCAAGTCTTTTACTCAGAGGTAACCACTGTCTCTTAAAACATGGCCATAATCCCCATTATTGCAATATAGTATGTGCATGTCATCAGCCTCTGAGTATATTTGCTCCAAAGAGAACTTCAGGGAATACTGCAGGAGAGCAAAAGCCTTTTTTTTTCTTTTTTTTTTTCTTCTTTTTTTTCTGCTAGAGAGCAGAGCATTAAGCTATTTGCAGAATTTTTGTCAGTTTAGGTACTGCAGAGTAGCACGAGCTGACCAGAGGTAGCAGTGCAGCTGGTTTGGGTTCATCTCCATCCAAGAAAATTGCTTTGTTTCTGAATTCCACCTTGGCTCACTATATTAATTTCCGTTTTCCCTCAAACTTCCAAGCTTTTTACACAAATGTGTCTTACATCAGTTAAATTAAAAATTAAAATCAAAGTAACAGTAGAAAATTCTTGCTTTATGCAAAAGCTCAGTTCTGTTAAGCTCAAAGTTATCATGTGTTCACAGCATTTGACCATCAGCGTAGCAACTGGCCACACAAATAAAAAGTTAACATCTAATATTCTGGAGTCTGTGAATTCATTACTGTATGCTTTTTTCACCTTGTGCAGGGGTGTCACGGGGCGTGGGGTTTATCCGGTTTGACAAGCGAATTGAAGCAGAAGAAGCTATCAAGGGCTTGAATGGCCAGAAACCTCCAGGTGCCACAGAGCCCATCACTGTAAAGTTTGCTAACAATCCAAGCCAAAAAACCAATCAGGCCATTCTTTCTCAGTTGTACCATTCTCCAAACAGAAGGTATCCCGCCCCTCTAGCTCAGCAGGCTCAACGTTTTAGGTAAGTCAAATAATGTGCACAAGTGTGCTGAAACTTGCGTGTTCCCACAGACCTGTTTGATTGCCTCCACTCTTATTCATTCCTGCTTGTCGTTCTGTGTGGGAAGGAAACACATGAATGTTGAACTTCAGCTATGCTACCACAGTACAGCTAAAACCAAAATGCATGCCATTCAATTGATTTCAGTGTCTAATAAGCATACTTACTTAAACCAAGGTGGCATCTCTCTTGGACTCAGTCACTTAATTTTTTTTCAAAGATTACTTTTTCATTTCCTAGGTTATTCTTGATTAATGTGCAAGTTGATTCAATTAATATTGACCAAGGAGATACAGTAGTTTTCTCTTAGCCACATGGCATGCCACAGCCAGCTTCCTCTTTATCTACCCATGCATTTTTCCTACACATTCTGGCTTTCAGGTTTTTTTCCTGTTTAGTTGTCTGTGTTCTTCATGCTGTACTTTGTCTTTTCTTGTCACAACGTTTCATAATGAAGATTGCTCACATATTTTCTGCATGTACTTTTTGGAGACTTGTGTTCCCATCATGTTGAAACAGTTGCTATATAGTTCCCTGTGCTATTTAATGTATTGAACAGATGGTGAGAACAAAGTGAAACAAACACTGTACTATCTATATCCATGAATACCTTGGATATTTTTTTTGTCATCTTGATTATTTCTTCCCTCCCTCTGCTCCTAAACAGTATGACTGGGTTGTGTTAAATAGTAATCTACTCAAGGAATATCTCTGTTTTGTTTTTTAAGAAACAAAACCAATTGACAGTTTCCTTCAAAGAGAATATACCAAATTTCAAATGCTCTGTATTGGCTAGGCTTGCTTATACCAAATATTCAGAGCTCATGGCTTGCACTTCTGTCAGAATTTTAAGATTTTTTCTTCTGTTCAACTTTCTGGGCTTATCTGCTGCATTTCACAGGTGTGAGGAGCAGGTGTTCTGCTGTAGGAGAGGGGATAACAAATTTTATTTACTTTCTTGTAGCTCTTTTTACTGTTCTTGGGTAATAAAAGGGCTATCTTACAACAGTGTTCTGAATATTGCATAAAAGTAGATTTGCCATTATTCTATAGATAAAGTCTGAGTGCAGAAATTGCAGGATGGACTCAAGTACATTGTATGGAAAAAGATCAGGGGGTTTGTGTCACAAGCTTATTCAACATACTCTGACCTGATGCAGTTGCCCCATCTCTGTTAATAGTTTACAGAGGCCTGAAAACAGCTTAGATTTTAATAATAGAAGCAACAGGATCAATACAATGCTTTCTTTTTTCCTTATTAAGAGAAAATTTGAGTTGGACTTTCAAAAGCAGATCTATATCATTGTTTCTCAGTTTCCGTAAGATGTGCAAGTTAAAGCATCTTTAAAAATTTTCCAGTGAAAGTCCCTGAGAATATTTCCAGAGTATTTTCAAGTCTTTCAGGTAACTTCTGAAAAATCATACAAGTGATACGATTACTGTATTAAGTCCTCATCTGACAGCCCTTGTAACAAGGACCTGTAAGTGGTGATGCTTCTAGAACTCTTCACCTTGCTCTCCACCGCTCATGTCAGTGACAGTAGACCTTAGTCATCCACACTGTCTACTGATAGTAGTCAAGTACTTTTTAGTTTTCTTTTTCTGCTCTTTTAGGGGTTCAGTAGTTCATTGTCAGTGTATTCTGCAAACCCAGCTCACTGCAGAATCAGTGCTCTCTGGAAAACTAAATGAAGTGAATGTTTTTTTACCTAAGCTTGTATTTTATTGAGTCTTGATCTATATAATATATTATATATATAATAAGACTACTTCTTTGTGTATCTGGGATTTGCCAGATAGAAACAAGAGCTTCTTTAGGGTGAACATATTTTGAAAGAAGCAGTTTAAGGGACTCCAGGAATAAGAGCAATAGGAGTGGTATGCACTGCATATTTCAGATAATGTCTAGATTATTTCAAGGGGTTTAGAGTTGTTGTGGCATTCTGTAACTGGGGGAAAGTGAAGCAAGAATCACATGGAGAAATCTTGAATATAATATATATATTATAGAAACACTATATAATATATATATAAATATATATTAAAAAATATATAAAAATATATTATAGACACACTTCATCCTGGAAAATTAGAGCATCATAGAATATCCTGGGTTGGAAGGCGCCCACAAGGATCATCGAGTCCAGCTTCTGGCCCTTCACAGGGCCAAGGGTCACACCATGTGCCTGAGGGCATTGTCCAAACAATTCCTGAACCCTGGGAGGCTTGGTGACATGACCACTTCCCCAGGAATCTTATTCCAATGTCCAGGCACCTTCTGGGTGAAGAACCTTTTCCTCAGGCACAGCTTCAACACAATTTTAGGACATTCCCTTAGGTCCTGTCACTGGTCACCACAGGGAAGAGATCAGTGCCTGCCCCTCCTCTTCCTTCCCCTCACAAGGAAATGTAGAGTGTGAGGAGGCCAGCCACCTCTCAGGCCCCCCAGGCTGAACAAGCCAGATGACCTCAGCTGTTGCTTTTACAGCTTCCCCTCCAGACCCTTCACCATTTTCTTGTCCCTCCTTTGAACATTCTAATAGCTTTATATCTGCCTTATATTATGGAGCCTAAAACTGTCCCCAGCACTTGAGGTGAGGCTGCCCCAGTGCAGAGCAGAACAAGACAGTCCTTGTCCTCCCTTGTCCAGCTGGTGATGCTGTGCTTGATGCCCCCCAGGACTTGGAGGTTCTGGGTACCAGGGCACTGCTGACTCGTGTTCAACTTTCTGTTAACCAGGACCCCCAGGTCCTTTGCCATGCCTTTCAGTGTCTCACTCCCCAATCTCTCTGTACATCCTGGTTTCCCTCATCTCAAGTGCAGAATTTGACACTTGCCCTTTTTAAATGTCATGTAGTTGGTTATTGCCCAGCCCTCTAATTTGTCAAGGTCCCTGCAGAGTCTCTCTGCCTTAAGGGTAGTCAAAAGGTCCTCCCAATTTAGTGTCATTGGAAAACTTACTTAGTATATGTTATTTAAGTCCTCCATCCAAGTCATTTATGAAAATGCTAAAGAGCACTGAGCCTAAAACGAAGCCCTGTGGAATCCCAGTAGTGACCAGTCTGATGTCACCCCATTCACTGTAACCCTTTGTGCCTTAGCCCTGAGCCAGTTGCTCACCCATCCCATGATACATTTATCCAGTTGTGTGCTACACATTCTATCCAGAAGGATTCTGGGAGAGGCAGTATCAAAGGCTTTACTGAAATCCAAAAGGATTACATCAGCTGACTCCTTGGTCGGTTGGTTGGGTTATCCTGTCATAAAAAGAAATTTAAGCTTGACAAGCAGGACTTTGCCCTCATGAAGCCATGCTGGCTGTGATTGTGTTTTTCAATACTTCCCAAAATAATCTCCATACTTTTACCAGGCACTGAAGTGAGACCGATAGGCCTGTAGTTTCAAGGGTCATCCTTCTTGCCCTTATTGAACATTGAAGTAGTGTTAGCCAGCTTCCAGTCAAGTCCATATTCCCAAAATTATTAAAAAAAAAAACATTGAAAGAGAGCTCACAAAGACATCTACCAGCTCTTTGAATGTTCTTGGATGAATCCCATCCAGTCCCATAAATTTGTAGGGACTCAGTTGCAACTGAGATCCCACACAAGTTCAGGGTTGTACACCATTCTCAGCTGATGATATTGGAACCCTCTTAGCCCATCATGTGGGCTAAGGTAAAAGATAAAGGCAAAGAAAGAAAAATTCTCTGTCTTGTTTGTGTCCCTGTTTGTGGGGTGACCATTTTCATTCTGTAACGGGCTGTTATTTTTGGTCTGCTCTTTGAGATTGACATATTTAAAAGTCTCTTCTTGTCCCCCACATTGTTGGCAAGCTTCAACTCCTTTTGAGCTTTGGCTGTGTGGCTAGAGAGAAAAATGTGCTTTACTACAGGCCACACAAATCTTCTCCCTTCAGCAGCAAGCAATATCTCTATTTTTTCCATAGCCACCTAACTTTGCCTCCATTCTCCTTACACTTACTTTTTTGCCTTAGCCCTGCTCAGCCAAACTAACCTTTCTGCCTCCCAACATTCTGGACTTGCAGAAGGAGTAAGAACATGAAAAATCTTTTTTTGGAGTTTATGCTACAACAGTTGTTAGTGATCCAAAATACTGCATCTGTCTTGATAGTTATGTCAGCAAACATGTCAGAAGCCTTAATAAAAGTCCTCTCTCAACCAGTTTAGTAATGTGGAAAACTTGACTGATGTGATCACTGACTGTAACTTTATGGTAACAGGATGTGATTCAGGCTAAATTTATGTCTGTGGCACACTTTATAACATTAACTTCTTATGATAGTGGTTACTACACAAGAATTGTAGCAGTGTGGGGTTTAGATGGTGGATGCTGCTAGCTACTTCTCAAAAAGCGTCTCCACAAAGAATATCTGTTTTGTCTTCACTATCAGGTGTAATAAAGTGCCATGGCTCTTTCAGTGGTGATACTTTAACATTGCATGAGGTTCAGCACAGTGTAATGGATGTGACTGTAATATGCTAAGTTTCCTTAAAGTGTGGAAAAGTCTGAAGACTGAACATGTTGCTAAATGTTTTGCAGGTTGGACAATCTGCTCAACATAGCTTATGGAGTAAAGAGGTAATAAGGATTAGTTGGTTCATAATAACCAAATTATTTTGAAGTATTTTGCAAACTCTTACTTTTCAGTAAGACTTATGTTGGATTTTTGCATGTTGAGACTTCAGCTGAGATTGTTCATTTTGATGCATTCTGCATGAAATAGACAAGCTTTTTGTAAAAGTTCCATGGAATTCCTGTTTCAAATGACTTGCTAATTCTCACTGATTTTATAGCATGCTTTCCTTTTGTTTTTCTGTTACATCATTTCAGACATACCTAGCACTGTTCTCCCTACTTGTATATAATTTTTTTACATAGTAATTGCGCAGTTAGGGGGCAAAAAATATTTTTGATCTTATTTTTCTAGTCTGAGCAACATGTTCATTCTGTGAAAAGCTCTGTATCATTCTCTTTTATTTTGACATTTCTTTGCTGGGGTTTTGCATGAACAGCTGTATTATGATTCTATTTTGCTCTCCCTCATTCTTTAGTAGGTTTCCTCCAATGACCATTGATGGAATGACCAGTTTGGCTGGAATTAATATCTCTGGACATGCAGGAACTGGGTGGTGCATTTTTGTGTACAACTTGGCCCCTGATGCTGATGAGAGTATCCTCTGGCAAATGTTTGGACCTTTCGGAGCAGTGACCAATGTGAAGGTCATCCGTGACTTTAACACCAACAAGTGCAAAGGTTTTGGATTTGTGACAATGACAAACTACGATGAGGCAGCTATGGCAATAGCCAGCCTGAATGGATACCGCCTTGGTGACAGAGTATTGCAGGTCTCCTTCAAAACAAACAAAACGCACAAACCCTAACAAGTTATTCTCAGTGCATTAATACATGAAAACTATACAACAAAAGCAATTTACAAGAAGCTTTATGCATTAGTAAATGCCTTTGTTGTATTCCAGTGTGGAAATGGGGATAAAATGACTACTTAGCATCCTAAGAATATGTGAGATTTTTTTATTGCTAATATTTGAATTAGAACTTCTTAAATATCTTTTGTCTTTGAGTATTGACAAGAGGTACAGGGTTTTTACCTGTTACAATGCTTATTCTATTGCCTTCTTTGAAGAAGGTGCAACTTTTAAAATGTTTCTGCTAAGGGAAGAAGTTTGTTTTCTTTATACATGACTTCCTTTAATTTATGAGTAAATATCGAGGTTTTGTGTAATACAGTAATTTTTTTGTCAATTCTTGATTTGCTTTGTGTCTAATTTACCTTGCAATGCATTGTTTTCTTGTTCAAGAAAAGTAAAGTTTACATTTTATTTGTAAAGTTTAAGCAGTATTTATTTCATCATCTTCATTTGGGTTGGGGAGTGGTAGCACATTATAAAAGCTTATTGTAAGAATACTGGAGAACTTTTCGTAAAGCAGTATCTTGCCAAAGAGATAAGAGCCTCTTTGATGTGGGTTTAAAAAAGCATCTATTTTTATAAAAAAAAAAAAAAAATTTGGAGAAACTTTTTACTGGTCCTGGAACAAATATTTTGACTTGAATATTTTGAGAAATCTCTTCATATGACACCTAGTGAGCTTTTAAAACTTACCAGAAAATTTGCAATTGTTGGGAAAAAATTTAGAAAGATTTATGATGTAGAACTACTTTTGAGACCTTCGTATTAAGAAGTAAAGTCAATGGGATGCACTGTTGGTTTCATTTTTTGTAATCATCAGTGGAGTCATTGATCATCCTGGTTATTAAGTGGTAGGTGGCTCACTTTAATTTGTGATTTTGAAGCAAATGAAAATTTAAGAAAAGAATATAAGAGCAAGCAGAAAACTTAAAACACTGACACATGGGGGAAATAAATCTGTTCTTCCTAAAGAATTCCCTTCAGATAGCGCTCATGGTGTTTAGTGATGTACTTGCTATTGTTTGAAGAATTGTTTTGTCTTAAGAAAAGACATCAAGCATGATTTGTGAAGTAGCATATCAACAGAAGTGGCCTGAGTTGGATGCATTAGGAGGTATTTTGAAAGTTATGTTCAAGGCTAACACCTGAGCTTTTTGTAATGTAAATAAGACCTTAAGTTATGAATCTTTCAGCTAATTTTGATTATAGTTTTTTTAAAAGTTATATGCCAAGTGATGTTCAATTTTGAATGTTTTTGTATAAGTTTTTTCTTTGTAAATGGCATTAACATTGTTACTTGATGTCTGCTTCTTATTTTCTTCTTTTTTTTTTTTTTTTTTTTTTTTTTTTTTTTGTCCTGAGGACTTGAATTTACAGTGCATCAGATCTGTTGCTATTTTTGTCTGTAGATAGTCTAGCTTCAGCTGTTTATGGTGATGCAACATTTTCGTTTATGAATATGTTTGTGGTAAAAAAAAAAAAAAGTATAAACATATGTTTCAAGCAAATTTCCTTACATTTTTCATATGAAAACCATAAATACCTGTATGCTATTGACGTTTATCTCTGTATGATGCTTAAATCACTCTTTGGGGAAATAGAAAAAGTCTTTGCCATATATTGAAGAAATTTAAGGAAAACAAATGCAGAATATTTTCTGATTAGCATCTAGCTTGTAATTAAATTTTTTTAAAAAGCTGAGGGTTTGGTGCCTTCACAAGGATGCACTGAAAACTACATAGTTATGTCCTGCTTTTTATATAAACTGAGATGCTCATATGCTTCCCCTCTAGAAAAACAATGTTCTATGCATAACATAGTTGTACTATGTACTATCTTTGCAGTTGTTTTTGGTTCTTATTCTTTTAAATTGTAGTTATAAAATTTTCAATATAGTACAGTACATATACTGTGAAGCGTGTGCTAAAGTGAATAAGCAAGTTTTCATGCTGACCCACTCAATGCTATCCAAAAATCAATTGGCTTCCTGAGTACTTCTTTCTTAGATGCCTTTACATTGTTAAAGCTAATCCTCTGCATTAAAAGTTGTATGTAGTATAGAAATCACAAACTTTCCAATGTGGGAGAAATAGTATCTTTTCTGTATTTCTTTCCTGTACTACTGTAGCAACTAACGGCATTGATGAGAAGGCATGTAAATTGGGCTTAACTTTACAGTCAGTGTTTATCAGAGCACTTAGTAAAATATAAGGCTGGTATTTATTTGAAATTGTGTAGTATGACTTAATTCACATTTGTTGGAATAGAGAATATATTCTGTTGGGTATTTAAGAGGTTGTACATGTTTTCTTTTTGTGTTTGGATTCTTTGTACTTTTTCATGTTCAGTACATCAATAAACGAAGTTGAAGGGAAAACAGTCTCATAAACTGGTCTTTTGCCATATTTTCTCTTGCTTTAATGATTAACCAAGTGAAAGGTTTCTGCAAAGCTCTTGAGCTACTTGTAATTTAGGTTAGGATCCTAGTTGCCAACAAGGAAGTAAGACAATGGAGCTCTGTACCTGTTCTGTTACCTTAGAATTAAGTGTAGAACCTTTTCACTTTTGGTTTTATATTAATCACTCAGTACTTAAGCTGAAATAATAGAGTACCATTAAATGCATTCAGTAAAAGTTAATTTGCTGTCTGTCTAACAGGTTGTTATGCAGTGTAACTAAGTGAATGCCCTTGTGTGTTTTCCAAGAGATTACATAGAAAGATTAAGAAGTATCAGGGACTTTAATATGGAGATGTACCAGTTGACCTGTGCTCTGGCCTTCCTGAGACAGGAGCAGAGACTAGAAAGAAATCCATATCCAGAGCCTTGTGTAACCTCCCCCTGACAGGCTGAAGGTAGTAGATCAGAAGGAAGGAGTGAATGGAGGTGAGTCCTGATTTGCACAACAGGCAAAAGCCCTTCTTGTCCACCTCACTCTCCCAGGTGCCTCTGTGCAGTAGGTGTGAGGCTCTGGATCTCGGTAGGAAAATCAGTGGATGTTTAGAACAAAGATCCTTGTCCAACAGAAAAGTCTGCCTCCCTTCCTAGCCTGGTTCAGCCATCAGACTCATACTGCTTGTTAGTTCTCTATGTGCATGTTGACAACGCCTCAATCCATAGTCCAAAGGCTGTCTAAAGAGACTTCGATGCCCTGGGATGGTTGGAGAGGTAATCAGGGCCACAGGTTATTTTTTCCTCTACTTTTGTAGGTGCAGGTAGTGACATTGAAAAAAAACATATGGACCCTGTCTTAATACCTTACTCTGGGGCTGGTTGCACACTGCCACAATTTAGGTTTCTTATGTATAATGGGTTGGCCTCCATGGTCCTGGACATAATGAATTCAGATAGGATTCTCCTCTCTAAAAGGGGAAGAGGGCCTTTGTCAAGGGCTCAGGGAGCTAATTGACAGTGCACTTAACTTGATAACCCCTTGGGGGAAGGGGTTATAACTAGATTTAATGGTGAGAAGGTGTGCCTATCCCCCTCAGCCCCCCAAATCACCAGGCTAGCCCAGATATACAGGGTCTTGAGGAAGGCGAATCAGGAGATGGGCAAAGATACAGAAGATAATCCAATTCCCTGATGTGGTTCTCCAAGATTGTTTAATCCATGAGATGAAGGGGGAAAGAGAGTGAACAAGAAAGGACAGGGCCTTAGCTAGGCTCTGGACAGGGAGGGCTTTCTGGCTCTCTGCCAACCTGATCAGAGCAGGAAGGAGGGGACCCTGCTTATCTGATCCTAGTCATAGGGGTCGCTTGAAAAGGGGAAAGCATAACCCAAGCGCAATGAAACACCTCCCCCTTTTTTGTTTAACAAGGTTACAGGAATTCACTGGGGTCAGTTTAACCCAGAGCATGGGTTTCCTGCCAACCTGCAGTTGGTGGCGTAGTCAGACCTCCTCATGTTTGCTAACTGTATGTGGTTGACTTCTGAGGTAGAAAGTATGAGACCCTTGATAGCTTTGAAAATCAAGTGACACAGGATCCCAAACACCAAGGTTACAAGGAACAGAATAACAAGAAGTAACAAAATTGATCTAACAATAGAACACCACCATGTGAATCCCCAGCCCTGGAATAAATCTTTGAACCAGGCCTCAGATTCTTGCTTCACTTGTCTGATCAGGCTGTTCATGCTTCGAAGGGCAGCATGGATGTTTGGAGCTTTTGCAGTCAGGTCCATGCAACAAAGTCCTTCAAATTCCTGGCATTCATGTCCATGCAATAACAAAAGGAAGTCTATAGCAGCACAGTTTTGAAGTGTGGCTTGTCTGGTAATTTCCTCATCTTCCAGGAGGGAGCTGATGGCAGCAGACGTTAAGTTTGCCTGTTTGACTACCCAGCATTCTAGGTGGCCCAATTCACCTAGAGCTTTGGCTGCTGCAACCCATGAAAGGAACAGTGACACAGCAACTCTTTTTCACTTGGCCCAATGAGCAATTTCTGAGTTACAATTTGGGTCCAAATTGTCCACACTCCTCTTTTGAATTTTGTTTGCCGATTTGTTTTCTGAGTCTGTTTGGTGATTAGAGTTTGGCTGGGTGTCAATGGACAGCCTCCATATGGTACATGGCTGTCCTGAAAGCTGAGATGGAATTCCTGCCCATGCCCAATCCTCACAAATCAAAAACAATTCCTTAGTGAGACCTTTGGGACTTGAGTGAGATGGGTTGTCTGCCCTGATATGGCTCGTGTTCTGACACCACCTTCTTGCAGCAAATTCCCCACTATGTTGTTTTATAACGTGGTACTCATTAGTATTAGAAAGTTTGGGGAGAACAGAAAAATGTATGCAGTAAGCTGCAGGAGAAGAACCCAGTAGCTCTAACTGTTTGGGTTCCTGAGCCATCCTGGGCAAACCCTGCAACCACTCCTCTAAGGATTTCCAACTTTATGTGGTCAGGGTGTGTGTGACTCTGGGATTTCGTTGGACCTATGTTTGTCCAAACCTACTGGAAATTCTTCAGTCTGACATAGAATTTCTACCAGACAGGTGGACATAGGGTCCTTTGCTGCTGAAGTGGACAAACCAATGTTTTCCTGCTGAAGTGTCTGTGCCAAGGTCCCCCAGACGTTTTGATGTGGCTGAGGGACGATCATGCAGCTGCCTGACTGTTCAGCAATAACAAGATGAATGGGGTTCATCACAGGTTTAAGTGGGAGGTAGGTTTTCTCTAAAAATAGAAAAAAGACATTTTTAAAACATGTTACAAGTTTCTGTTTCTGCTGGAAAGAATTCACACTTAGGAAAATTCTCCTTCTTCCATTCGGTGGCATCTACTTGCTTCTCATCCCCTTCTCTCTGATCTCAATTCTTGGGGACAAAAAGTTTCACCCACTTCTGGGGAATCCACTGAGGGACTGAGGGAGGAGTTACACATGCATAGCCATGACCCCAGGTCATGAGATCATAGGGACCCTTGGTTTCCCAAGTTTCTGGATCCCTAATCAAGACTGATGGACACTGAGATAATTTGAACTGATTGCCACTGTTAAAGTGATGTACAACTGGTGGACTCATGTTTTCAAATGAACAGTTCAGAAAATTGATGATAAACATGGCTTTACAGAGCTTCTCCCATGGAGACATCCATGGAGCTGAACTGCTCTGTCTTTTCAATACCTGTTTGAGCGTCTGTTGTGCACGCACAACCACGGCTTGACCTGTGGGGGAGTGAGTGATAACAGTCTTATGTTCCACTCCCCACTGTGGAAAATACCATGCTCCTTGGACGGTGTGGATGAATGGAGGCAGAGATCTCTGAAGTTTGCTCTTGGGGAAAGAGGTTTATTGGGGGTGCAGGAGGGTCCTGCCTCGTGCTCCCAGGTGCAGCACGTGGCCGGGCCTGAGAGGGTGGGGGAGGAGAGAGACAAAAGGAGGGTCTAGGAGAGGGGAAGCTCCAAGGGAGGGGGAGAGGTTCCAGGAGGGGAGGAAGTTCCAAGAGGGGGGAAGAGGTTCTAAGAGACCACGTGGCCCCTCAAAGCCCCCTTATCAGGGGCTTCTGGGTGGGTTGGAATAAGGCATGGGCCAATGGGGTTACAGACATTTGATGTTTGAAGGGAGGGATAGAGGTGTGGGGTGAACCATACATATTTTGGGGGGTGGGATGGAACAGTCCATTTTACCCCAGGACTCATCTAAAGGCAGGGGTGTCATCCGGCTAGCTGGGAGAACTGTTCTCAACCTAGCTGTATTATTTATGAACAATCATATTTATCTATCATCTGCAACAATTGCCCTTTTTCGTTAAACTATTTAAAAGGTAAATACTGACTTAATTACTACTTTTTGCACAACCTGAGGTATATAGGATATTGCTACTGAAACTACACTTATTACTTTTAAAACAATCAAACTTACTTCACAGAGTTCCTTCAGCCAAGGTGCAAAGCTCAAACCTTCAGATAAACTGTTCAGCTAGATTACTGATTATAGTAGAGGTGGCATTTATTTCTTTTACAGATCGAGCATTTTAACTTTTTGACTGCTTTAGTGTAATTGAAGAATTTAACTGAGGTAGCGTTATGAAAACCCTCTGGGGAAGGTTCTATAATTAACCAGGTTGAAAAAGTCTATTAGGGCTTTGTATTAGTTAGAGAGATGGTACCAGAGCCTGCAGCCTTGGCCAAAGCAACCCAGGCATTTGTCTTTGGTTAACCTATAGGTTAAACTTCATTACAGAAATTGAAACAAGAGAACAAATGCAACAACAAGAGAACAAAAGCAACATGCATGTGTAAACAAATGTCCATAATCTCGAGTTGTTTCTGGCAGTTTTCTCTTGATTCTGCACAGGTCATGTCTGGACTTTTGCCTCTTGGCTTAGACTTGCAGAGGCACTGTTTGGTCTAGGGATGTCCTTGGGCTTCACATTCTTCGCTGAGACCCATTTGGATCTTTCACCTGTCAAAACACAAGCAAACCTTCTCCCTCATGTTACAAGGTTGCATGGGCTTTCTATTTGTCCTGTGTCTGAGGTTTTGATTAAGACTGATGGGTGCCTTTTTATTTTTGCTTTTTTGTTGTTCAGAAAATACCTATAGATCAGGGGGTGAGGCTCTCCTATAGAGCAATTTGAAAAATTGTGAACATACAGATCCTTACTCAACCTCTTTTGGGGTACAGCCTTATACATTCCCATTTTCTGTTTTAACAAGCTGAGTTTTGGGGTTTCATATGTTTTTTCTATGGTATTTTTCAGCAGTTGTTTACCATAGGAAAGAGGGATACCACTATCACTTGCTGCTTTTAGGAATTTTCTCTCATCCTGAGATGGGATAGCTGTCCATTCTCTGGGACTACCAGCTTTTTGGCTGAATGCCACAGGCATGGACTGGGGATTCAGACTGTCTTCCTTGTGACCATCACATCTGAATGCATGCCAGTG